GACAGGGGTAGTGCTGCGTGACCGTCCAAGGCCAGGTGGCGGGGCGGGAGGCGGCGGGCAAAGCGTCCCAGGCGCCCGCAGGAGGCGGGGCGGAACAGCAACGCATGGAGGAGGAAAGGAAACACACACAAACATATTGTCGACGACTTGCGTCCCCCCACCAGCACATTCAGAAACGATGCCCATGATAGCTAACGGGGGAAGAGAGGAAGAGACACAGATAGTCGAACCACGCGCGCAACAAAGGTGAAACGAGAAACCTCTTAGAGCAATGGGGGGCGGCCAGGAGGGCCCGCTGGGGCAATCCCCGGGCCATCGCGGGGATCGAGGAGGATTAAAATAAGGGAACACGAGGAGGAGGAGGAGGAGGAGGAGGAGGAAGAGGAGGAGGAGGGAGAGGAGGAGGAGGAGGCGGAGGAGGCGGAGGAGGAGGAGGAACAGAAAATGGAGGAGGAGGACAGAAAAGGGGAAGGAGGGCGGATAGGAGGAATCCAATCAGAAGGCCAGAGGCCTCTTGGATGCATTTCAGAATATATTGGATGTTTCTTGGAAGTGTTCTTGGGGGGCCCTTGGGGCGTTTGTGGGGCCTCCTGGCGGTTTTGTGAGCCCCTTGGCACGTCTTGTCTGCCGCTCGGAGCCTCTCGAGGGCCTCTTGGGGGCCGCTTGTGGGCTTATTGGGCGCCTCGGGGGGGTCTCTTGCAGCTGTGTTGGGGTCCTCAGAAGCCCTCTTGAAGCCATCTTGGGAGAGCTCGAGCAAAGAAGGGGGGTCCTTAATCAGCTTGCCCCCCCGGAAGCCCCCAACATCGCCTCTTAAGCCTTTTTTTGGGGCGCTCATAAGGCGCTCGTGGGCGCTCATGGGGCCGTCTTGGGGTTTTCTTGGGCCTCTCTTTGGGCCCTCTTGGGCTCTCTCGAAGCTATCTCGCGGTTGCAGCCGTCGACAGCAACAAGGCGAGAAGGTAACATTCAGTGGTTACCCGCGGGTTTTTATAGGCCTTTTTCGGGGGCTTCCGTGGAAGGCCCCGCGGCAACCTGGAGCCGTCCTTGAACGGTCTTGGAGCATATTGGGGCATCTTGGAAACCATGTTGAGCCAGGTCGGGCCACCTTGGGCCATCTTGGAGGTCATCTTGTCACCCATACCCAGGCCGACACACACACACACGCACGCACGCACGCACGCACGCACGCACGCACGCACGCACGCACGCACACACACACACACACACACACACACACACACACACACACACACACACACACACACACACACACACACACACACACACACACACACACACACACACACACACACACACACACACACACACACACACACACACACACACACACACACACACACACACACACACACACACACACACACACACACACACACACACACACACACACACACACACACACACACACACACACACACTAATTTTCGTATTTGCATGGGGCGTCATCCACTTGTGGTACTTAATCCCAATCAGAGGTCGCACGAACACGCGCGTTCGAATAGACTCTCTTACAATCAGACCAATTCATGTTCAGAATGCGCCCTACTTGGGCAGGCAAACTCAAACTCGCTAACCCCGTTGCCCGGATAAAAAGTACCTCCCTTTTAACCCCTGAGTGGTTATTATCTCCGGGTCAGACATATTTGATTGTGGAGAGGGGTGGCGAGGCCGAACTTGACTTTCGCGGTTGGAAGATGCGAAACGAAATTGCGATTGTTCTTATGTTAACACGCTAAGACATGTTGCTCGTACTCAAACTTACCCATTCATGCGAAGGCATGGGACTTGGGCATCCCAATGAGGAGCCGCCAAGGTGTGTTACACGGGCCCGCTCGCACCCAGATTTAGAGGGGTGTCGCAGGGTGGACCGCAGGTTTGGGCGCCCCCGATCCCACTTTCTTTTTTTTTCTCCTCTCTCTCTCTCTCTCTTTCTCTTTCTTCTCGGAGACACACGCGGGGACTCCCCCGCCACCATCTGTAGGATGGCCCAGGGTTTCGAGGTGGGCCTCCTGGAGGCCCCGAAGCTTCGAGCCGCCGCCCGTCGCTCGGCGTGCTCTGCCCGGCGCCGCTGGCGGCCCGGAGGGGCCCGCCCGCTCGGGGACTGCCAGGCCGGGCCAGGGCTGAGCTGGGGTCCCAGTGGTCCGCCAACCGCGTCCAGCCGCGGCGATGAGAGCCTCCCTGGGCATCGCTCGGACGTGCGTATTTTTCCTAAGGCGAGGGCCATCCACGTCGTCGACAGCGACGTCGAGCGTCCGTCCCCCTCCTCTTCGGGGATGCGCGGACCCGGCTCAGCGCCAGCCCGGGTCTTCTGGGGGGACAGGGGAAGATGGGCCGACCCCCGACAGTGTTGACCCCGGCTACGCGCGGCCCGAGGAACCTCCAGCGACGTCTTTTGAGATGTGTAGGGGGGGCCTTTTTGAGACGGACGGCTCCAGGAAAGGAGTTCCCGCACGGCCAGGGGGCCCCAGGTGTCGAAGCGTGCCCCCGAAATTGCCTTCCGAGACAGGGGCCCAACAGGAGCTCCCGCACAGCCACGGGCCCTCGGGAGCCCGGAGCCGGCGCTGGACCGAGCCTCGGCCGCGGAGCCCTCCCGTGCAGCGCCGACCGCGCGGCTGCCGTGCCAGCCTCGGTCGCGACGGGGCAGCGCGCCAGCGGCGGGCCTCGCGCGCGCGGGCTCCTGGCACGTCCTGCTCGCTGAAGGGGGGGCACTCCTTCAGGGCGGGGCTGGGCGGGGCGGCGGAGGCACGGCCAGGGGCCAGGCGCTGCAAGGGGGTGGTGGGGGGAGGGGAGGGCGACGAGGCGGAAGGGGGGGAGACGATGGCGAGGAGGAGAGGAGGGACAGTTGGGTCCCCACTGTCCTTCCTCCTCTCCCTCCTCCCCCCCCCCTTGCTGACTCTTTCCCTCCACTTCTGATGGGCAGGAGCACCAGCATGGGAGACATACAGAAGGGCGAGGAGGAAGAGGGGCGATGGAGGGGGAGCAGCGGCAGCAGGATGCAGTTGACCAGGAGGGGAGGGAGGAAGTGAGACGGGGGAGGAGTGCAGGGGAATGCACTTGCCGTCTGGTGTGATAACCCCTGGGCGCGTATAATCCACGTTATGCAGAGTGTCAGTATTGTGGCACCTAACTGTCTATTGTGACCAGGGCCTGTTTGCCCCACACCCCTTCGACTTCTCCCCCATTCCTCCCTGGGATCCCTGTGTCTGATTGATCCTCCTCCGCACATCCTCGTCCCTTTCCCCTTCTCTCCCTCCTCATCCTTCCTCGTCCCCCCTTCTCCCCCTCTCCCTCCCTCCCTCCGCATTCCTGCTCCCTCACCTCCGCATTCCCGCCGCGCAACTCGGCGTGAAAACTCGTCCGTCGGCCCACTTGGAAATCACCTTCTCTGCTGCAGTGCAGTCCAGGGGCGGGGCAGGCAGGGTCTACGCACCAGTCCGGGGCCCATAGGCTGGAATTGGCTTGGCCAGGGGAGTGAGACGGAGGCGTGGACGAAATCGGACGGGGCTAGGACGAGGATAAACCCCTTTCCAGAGCGTTCTGGAACGCTCTCAGAGCGATCAAGAACGCTCTGAGACGGCCGCGACGCCCGAGACATTCTCCAGAGCCGCCAGATCTCAGAGATGCTCGAGTTATCCTCACCCGAATTCATCCTCGTCCTGGCTTCGTCTTACCGAGATGAGCCAGTGGGAATATGAGAAGGAGGAGGAGAAGGAGGAGGATGAGGAGGACAAGGAGGAGATGGATCAGGACGACGTGGATAAAGAGGGGGAGGATGAGGATGCGGCAGAAGAGGAGGAGAAGGAGGAGGACGACGATGAGGAGGAAGAGGAGGTTGGAGGAGGAGCAGGGGGAGGATGGAGAGGAACATGAGGAGCGAGGAGATGGTTGAGGAGGTGGAGAAGGAGGAGTGTTGAGGAAGGAGATTTCGGGGAAGAGTAAGAAGGGGGAATACGAGCAGGAGGAGGAAGCACCGTAACAGGACTAGTTGGAAAAGCAGGATGCGTACGACGTGGGGTGAAGAGGAGTAAGAAGGGGCGGGGGGAGGAGGCGCCGGACGATGTTTTGGACGCGATGGTCGTGGTCAGCAAACGCTTGCTCACTGACGAGACAAAATGAAAAGACTGCATCCTGGTCGGGGGACCAGGTTAGCGGTGGGAGACCCTGCCAGGCAGGAGCGGAACACTTGAAAAGCTTTTGGGCAATGGAAACAGTAGGAAACCATGCGCAACATTGCAGAAATATACGAATGGACGAATCGCACTGGGAGGTCGCACCGACCACCCAGATTTCGTCGAGGTAGCGCCTCAGAAATTGTTTCCGCTTCTCTCACCACCCACCATGGCACCCCAACCCAACCGAAGGCCCACAGTTCCCTCGATTCCCAGGTGGGGAGGGGCGTCGGGGAACAGTGAACAAAGACATGGGGAACCTGTACCCCCCCAACCCGAACTTTGGGTCTTCGGGTCAGGCTGGGTTGGTCTGGTAGGCAGTCATTCTCTGCCTTGCCATGCCAAGCGCGTTCAACAAATTCGTGGGCGCACGCCCGAAGGGGCAGGGAGCGCGGACCACACTCGGCCTGTCCGCCCTGCCTCCCAGCGCCGGGCGGCGAGCGGGGGATGGGGCCAGGATGCCCCGAGCCAGGGGGGGAAACCCGGCCAGGGGAGCGGAGCCCTTGTCGCCCCCCCCCCTCGATCGCCCTCCCACCCCCCTCCCCCCGAGTGAGGGTGGCCGCCGATCCCGGGGCCGGCTACCCTGGGGTGTTCCGTTCCTCCTGGAGAGGCTTGGTCGTGCCTCGTGCCTCCCCAGCGCCAGGTACCTTCCCCGGGGCGGAGGAAGGATGAGGCGGGAGGAGAGAAGGAGGAGGAGGAGGAGGAGGAGGAGGAGGAGGAGGAGGACGACGACGACGAGGGGAAGGACACATGCAGTTTATCACTCTGAGGGTGAAGGGTGAGGGGGGCGAGCGGGGGAGCGTACGATGGGGGGCCATGAGGGAGAGGAGGAGGAGGAGGAGGAGGAGGAGGAGGAGGAGGAGGAGGAGGAGCAGGAGGGGGAGGAGGTGGAGCAGGAGGAGGAGGAGGACGATGAGGCGGGGGCGAGGAGGAGAGCCACCCCTTCTGCTGCTGCAGGGCCGCCCCCCCCATCTGCGGGGTCGCCTGGGAGGGAGTGCCACGCGTGCCAGCGTGCGCGAACCGCCGCTGATCCGTCTCTCTGCGCAGGGTCTTCTTGCACCATGGGTGGGCAGCGACAACCACAGGGACAGCTCTCTTACACCTTGCCCACCCCTCTCCTCCAAATTCCCCTCTCGTCGTCTCTCTCCTCCTGCTTTCACTCCCTCCTCCCTCCCCTCTACTCTTCTCTACTCCACTCTTCTCTGATCTGCTCTTTTCGACCCGACTGCTCTACCATCTACCCTATTCTACCTACTCTATTCTGCCTGACGCTACCCTGTCCCAGCCTACTTTACTTCACTTTTCTCAGCCTCCGATGCAGCCAGCCGCTAAGGGCACATCCCAGGTCCTTCTATCCCACGTGCGAACAAACCAATCCAACGTCGACGATGTGATTACGTTGTCCATGTTGCAAAATGCGCGCCAGGAGTAGGAAGGGACGCACATCCTGCGCGAAAGGTCGAAATGCCGCTCTTGCCTCGGCGCCCGGCTCACTCCTCTTGAGAATCGAGCTCCTTCTGGGCCGCGGCGCGACATCGTCGCACGCCACGTCGTCGACGCGCGAGCGGGTGAACATATAGTTCTCGCCTCGGCGCCGCGCAGATTTCGCGTGAAAGTGCCGCTCCGTTCGGCGCGGCGCAAATTCTCTGCCTGCGAAGTCGGGGGGGGGGGGGCGCGCAAGTGGGCAGCTCGTCGCCCTCGCCCAAGCTCCGTGGGCATTTCGCGCCCGCGCGGGGCATGGCTATGTCGCCGCACCGTGCGTGGAGCGACCGCGGCAGCGACGCCGCGCGGGAGCGGGCGAAATGCCGACGCCGCGCCTTTCGTTAGTGTGGACGCTGTCGTGAGCCGCCTGATCCGCGGCCCCGCGCGCGTTAGGTAATTTAGTCGCGTCCGCGGCCCGTTCGCGACCTCCCGCCGCTGGCGCTTCCGCCTGCGGCGGTAAAAAAAATCGTTAGTGAGCGTGGGAGTGCTGCGTCGGCCTGGCACATGGTCCGTTTTCGCCGCGCCCCATCGGAACCTTTTTTTTTCCGCTCCCAGCCCAGCGCGGCCCGCGCAGTGTCCCGTTTTCCGCGCGAGCGCCCTCAGTCTGCGAGGTGGGAAGGTGCTCCAATCCCCATATCCAGTTGTGCCGTATTTGGTTCATATGCTGTGGGTGGGAGGGTGGGAAGAGGCGAGGCCCTCTGACGCGCTCGACATGTACACGCCGATCCCACTCCTAGTCGTACTCTCCTTCACTCCGAACATACTCACTTGTAGCATGTTCCCATACCCTCGTCAAGGTCACGCATGTTGGTTCAAGGTGTTGGCTCCAGGTGCTCATTGTTCTCGGTGTTTCCACGGACGCCGTGGGTCTGTGGCCAGTGATCCATGTTGTTTTCAAGTTCAGGGCTAACCCAGGCATTCAATATCCAGCAGCATGGGCCCGCCGCTGCCACCAGAAACGGGCTTCGTGGTGTTACGAGGACTGCGGACACCGCGCAGGCCGTGCCAGTGTGGCTCCATCTACAATTGAGCGCCGAGGCTCAAGCGCAGCGAGTGCGACCAGAAGTGCTTCTCCAAAGTGCAGCGTGAGGCTTGGAATTGATGCATGCTCACTCGCAGTGGGACCCCTTCACCAAAGGGGGGGCGCGGGCGCCGCCAGCTACGGCAGCCACGGAGCGCGCTCTTCGGGAGGTTAATCGCTTCGAGCAGCAGGCCCAACAGCCCGAGGAGATCACGAAGTCACTGGCAGACCTCAAGCGCGAGGCGACGCCAGCCACGCATGCAGCCTTCATCGAGTTCGAGGCCGAGATCGGGGGAGGGGCAGCAGGCGAGGACATCGCCGACGCGCTCGGACATCTGGCCGCCGAGCGCGAAGAGAGGCAAGAGGCCGCAACGCAAGGCTCGCCCCAGGCCGCGAAGCACATGCTCGAGCAGCAGAAGCGCAAACAATTCCGCAAACTCGGCAACTGGGAGAAGCAGCGTCCCAGATCGTGGAGCAAATCGAGCGCGAGAAGCAGCCTCGAGGACCTCGATGGCCACTGCGTCGGGGTGGAAGCCAACATCACGGATGAGCGCGGGCTTGGATTGGGAGGGCAGAGCGTGAAGGGCTCAAAGCCGCAGTCGCCGACAGCAAGCTCGGCGCCGCGCGCAATGCGACGCCGCGGTCGACGCGGCCCGCGAGGCGCCCTTCGCCGCGTTCCAGGAGGCAGCCGACGAGGCCGAGATGGAAGCCGGCGCGACCATGGAAGGGCTGACAGGCGGCGCTGGCAGCGGCGGCCCCAGGTCCGGCGCCTACGGAGCGCCTGCTCGCGGCCGAGGCGACGGTCGCGGATGCCCGGGTCCGCCAACGCGAGAGCCGCGCAGGGGCGACCCGGACTTGCATGGCAACCTCCGCCGAATGGCCCGCAGAGGCAGGGCCGGGGGATGGGGGGAAGCGCGTCGCGGTCACCCTGGCAGCGGCGGCCGAGAGGCAGACGGGCGCGCGGCGCTTGCGACCAGGGAGCTAGCGCCAAAGCAGACTCCCAGTTCAGCCACGTCGACTGGGTCGATTGGCCGACCGTCGCCATGGGGCAGGCGGGGCGAGGGGGGGGGGGCCTGGAGGGGCATTCCCCGACAAGAATTGCTTGCGGCCAGGCGCAGGGCCTGCGCGACGCGAGCCGGGGTCATGGAGGCGGGCCCCGATCATGATCAATGCCGTCTCGCTGCCAGGCAAGTGCGTTTAGCTGGTCGCATGTGTTCGGAACGCGTGACGGGTGGAAAGGCCGCTCGCCGGCAAGTGGCAGCCCTCTGCCCGCGGGCCAGAACAAATCGTCGCGCCCTCGCAGCGGGGCGCGGAAAAGGGGGCCGGGAAGAGAGCGCGAGTCTTATTCCCAAGAAGTCTCTTCGATGGGCAGCAAGCAATTCTTTTTCTCTCATCTGCCGCACGGCCAACCGAACGAACGAACAACTGTCTCGGCGCGCAGCGTTAGCTTCGCGTGCGCGCATTATGGCTCCCTTCCGTTGCTTCCTTCGCCTTTGTCTCGCCCTCTTGTTCTTTTTCGCTTACCCCTGCTTTGCCTTGTCCGGCCCCCCCGCCCTTTCCAGCTCGGAGCTGGCGCCGCGCGCGAAGAGCGCGACCCAAAGGGCGTTGCTGTAATTCCTTTGTGCGCCGCGAAGTCTCGTGCGAGCGCGCGGCGGTTGCGCTGCTGGCACGGGGGGCGCGCGAGTGAATTTCCTTCGTGCGATCGTTGTCGCCGCCCCCGCAAGACCACGCGCGATTCCTTCGCGTAGGGCATGCTTTCCCGCCTCGAGGAGCGCGCGGGGCCGGGCGCTGCAGTCGCAAGGCCGCGCCGCCTGGCAGTGCGATGCAGCTGCGCCGGATACCGTGCTTAAGACGATCCCACCTGGATTTCGGCTCTTCTGCCGAAGTCTCGCTGGCAGCTGGCCAGCCACATCGCCGGCCCTGCATGCCCGCGCGCGCCGCTGCGTTCTGCTGCCGCGACGCGTGCTGCTGTCAACGGATGAACAAACTGACGTTGCACGGCGGTTTGGCTGTCCCACACCACCATGGACTGTTTGTTGGTAGCGGATTTGGGGATCTCGTCGCCGCCGACAGCCTTGCCACGCCATGCGTGTCAAGTGCGTTCTAGAGCACGGCCGTGCAGCAACCCTGGTTCGTATCGCTGGGGGTCCAGTGGTATGCGCGCGCATGCGTTCAACCGTTGGTGGAGCCAAAACCCTTCGTGTGCAATACCTTTTTTCCCAACCATCCTGTGGTGTTGGGTCTTCGTTTTGAAGAGACGGCGCCCCGCGTTCCTCACCTCCTCCTCCCCCCCCCCTCCCTCCTCCCATCATCATCATCATCATCATCATCATCATCATCATCATCATCACCACCGATTTCGGCACACCCCTCACATGTTTCGTGACCCCACAGGGAGCTCCACCGAAGGCCCCAGTGGCAGGGTTCGCATGCTACCCCGCCACCCATTTCGGCACACTCCCTCACACGGCACACCCCTTTTCGTGGCCCCATAGGGAGCTCCACCGAAGGCCCCAGTGGCAGGGTTCGCATGCCGGCAACACGTTTCGTGCCCCCATAGGGAGCTCCACCGAAGGCCCCAGTGGCAGGGTTCGCATGTCTCCCCACCACCCATTTCGGCACACCCCTCGCGTGGCCCCACGTTTCGTGGCCCCATAGGTGGCCCCATAGGGAGCTCCACCGAAGGCCCCAGTGGCAGGGTTCGCATGCCTCCCCACCACCCATTTCGGCACACCCTCACACGTTTCGTGGCCCCATAGGGAGCTCTCCACCGAAGGCCCCAGTGGCAGGGTTCGCATGCCTCCCCACCACCCATTTCGGCACACCCCTCACACGTTTCGTGGCCCCATAGGGAGCTCCACCGAAGGCCCCAGTGGCAGGGTTCGCATGCCTCCCCACCACCCATTTCGGCACACCCCTCACACGTTTCGTGGCCCCATAGGGAGCTTCGCCGAAGGCCCTAGTGGCAGGGTTTGCATGCCTCCCCACCACCAATTTCGGCACACCCCTCACACGTTTCGTGGCCCCATAGGGAGCTCCGCCCAAGGCCCCAGTGGCAGGGTTCGCATGCCTCCCCACCACCCAATTCGGCACATCCCTCGCACGTTTCGTGGCCCCATGGGAATTTCCATTGAAAGCCCCAGCGACTGGGTTCGCATGCCGCCCCCACAACCATTTCGGCACACCCTTCACGTTTCGTGGCCCCATAGGGAGCTCCACCGAAGGCCCCAGCGGCTGCGTTCGCATGCCGCCCCCACACCAACTCGGCACACCCCTCGCACGTTTCGTGGCCCCACACGGAGCTCCGCCGAAGGCCCCAGTGGCTGCGTTCGCATGCCGCCCCCACACCAACTTCGGTGCACCCCTCACACGTTTCGTGGCCCCATAAGGAGCTCCACCGAAGGCCCTAGTGGCAACGTTCGCATGCCGCCCCCACACCCATGTCGGCACACCCTTCAAACGGTTCGCGGCCCCATAGGGAGATCCACCGAAGACGGTGCTCACACCAGCATTACTCACAACTGCATATGGTTGGGTCCTTCGCCAGGCT